AGGTTTTACATGTCCCTCCTTACTCAGAGTGGGGAGGGGAGCTTCAAGTGGGAGGGCTGCAGGGGAGGAATGGTCTTACAGGTCGTTTGTTTTGTAGACTCTGAGACCTTGGTGTTATCAGGACGATTATAGGATTCTTGAACAGAGAGACGGACTCCTTAGGCTTACAGACAGAGAGCAGCACTCACTGATGTCGCACCCACTCAGCTCAGCGGGTTCCTTATCCAAAGGCTGAGCTCTAACTGTAACACAACAAACAGTTCCACACAGTCTTGACATTCATACACAGCTACAGAGATAACGAAGGGGCTGGAGAATCCTTGAGGTGGGGGATGCAGCTGTGGAAAACATGTTAACTGAAGAGCACAGGGCAGAATGGGAGAAGAGAGAGCAGTTTTAACAGGCTGTGTCAGTTATTTCCGCAGGCCCTTTCCTTTGCATTTTTTCAGATGCCTCCTCTCCTCTCTCAAGAGCACCTTTGTCGGGTGACACACATCCAACAGCTGAGGACACTGGCCCGATATCTGGACGGCCAAGTACACACAGCCTGGGGCAGACCAAGGCTGGGCTTTGCGCTTTTCACTCATTCTGTTTCCACTGGGTCACACTGCTGCACTTGGGCTGTGACTTACAGCACTGCCTTTCCTCTGAGGTCGTGAAGTGATGCCTAATGTGCATGGTCGACAGATTAGCCGAGGCTGAGAAATACTTAATGTTTTTCAAGATGTATATGCAAAGATAACCTTGAGTGATCCCCCTCTTCTCCCAGGTCCCTCAGAGCCACCCATCAGCTGTGCTTCAGGTGGTTTGGCACGTCACTACAATTTATTATTCATGGAGTTAGACTGTCGATTTTAGGCTGTTTTAAAACAGCATTAAATTTTCCTCTAACAATACTTCATTTGCTAGTATATGAAGAATTTCATTTTTAAATAAATTATCATTCAGTAGGTGATGTTGAAATACACCGGCATTAGCTGCTCCAGTACACTGTATCATAGAGCTTAATCTGTATCGTGTCTGCATATTTGAATTGGCCCAGAGAAACATAGCTTATGACCATAATTCCAAATGGAATATTTATTTGTGTTTTCTTCTTTAGGTGGATACAATCAGTCTAAATGCTGCAAGCACACTGTTGGTTTCAGGCACCAAAGAAGGCACGGTGAATATCTGGGACCTCACTGCGGCCACCATGTTGCACCAGATTCCATGCCATTCAGGAACTGTATGTGATACTGCTTTTAGCCCAGGTAGTATTATCCTTTTTAATACAGATGATAACAGAGGACATGGAATTATTATTTTAAAATAAGTAATGAGAATGCAAAAAGAAAAACACTGCTGACAAAAGAGGTTTTGCCTATAGCTAAGGCTGCTTCATGGCAGAGTAAAGTATACTTGTGCATTCTGCAGGTAGGAGAAAAGCTGTATTGGATACTATTCTTAATTCCTCAACTCACTAGAGAAATTAATTTATAAGATGTAAATGAACTCACACCAAAGGGTCATCAACCCAGTGTCTTAGAAACAGAAGCATTTTAAGGACAGGATAGTCATTGGTTAATAAAACAAGTAGCTCAAGGAAAATGAAAGTGAACGTTAGGCCACTGGATTCAGAAATAAAAATCTCAGACCAGAGTAATCTAAATCATGCTCTGAAGCTGTAGCCTGTATCTGTGTTTCACCTCGTGTTGTAGACAGTCGCCATGTCCTCAGCACAGGAGAAGATGGCTGCCTAAATGTCATCGATGTGCAGACAGGAATGCTTATCTCTTCTATGACTTCAGACAAGCCCCAGAGGTACGTTTTCTTGGGTTACTAGTGGTGAAGCCATTTACACAAATGGTCACGGTCATGTCACTTGGGCTTCCTTTGGCCAGTGTAATATAACCCTTCTTCATGATGAATAATGATTATTTCTAATCATTCTTGTAGGTGCTTTATCTGGGATGGAAATACTGTTTTATCTGGAAGTCAGTCTGGTGAACTGCTTGTTTGGGACCTCCTCAGAGGAAAGCTAAGTGAAAGAATACAGGGCCATACAGGTAAGGAGTTAGCAATTGACTTGACCTTCCTAAAATACTGAATTCAGACCTGCTTTCCCTGAAGTCCTAGCCACAGCAAACAAGAAAAAGGAATAAAAGGCATCCAAATAGGAAATAAACCTGTCATTTGCAGTTGACACGGTACTATATAGAGAGAGCCCTAAAGGTTCCACTGAAAAAAACTATTAAGAGTAGCAGGATGCAAAGTTACCATTCAAACCTGCTTTCCTTTCAGGGAGCATAATGTTCTGTCATAAAGTATCCCATGTGCCCTCTTGGTGTAAACATTCCCTTCCAGCATCCTTGTTACCTAAGTGATATGCATCTTTTGGGTCCTTCAGGATTTAGATTTATGTTGACAGACATTTGACTCCAAAAAGGAAGTTTTTATATTAACTTCCATGTGGAAAATTAAAAACTATAGTAAAACTCTTGTAGTTTTTATAGTTTTAAAAAACAATGCAGAAGTAATAAATTACAGTGAAAACTAAGTATTCTTCCCACGGCCATCTCCTCTTCTCAGTCCTCCTCCTTGGAGAACATTTTCCTGGCTTCATGTCCTCTCATTATCGAGAGGGTGTGTTGGCGTGTTAATCAGTCTGCTGTATTTTTCACTTAATAGTATCTCTTGGAGATTCACTGTTTGCTTACATTTGCATGGTTGCCTCCTGATCACTTGCAGGATTTAGTTTTTAATTCTTCTAGGATCTACGGTTGTAAGTATCCTTTGACTTCCCACTACAAGCAGTAACTCCTACCTTTCATTTTTCCTGTCGGTTTTCTATTTTTTCTTACCATTATCCACTGAAGTGATGTGTCATGCCTTTTTTCTCCAACTTACAAGCTTAAACTAACACTTTGACACTTCCAATAGAAATGGAAATAAATCAGCACTTACACCAATTCCTCACCTTCTCTCTCATCTGTCCTGACTTCTGTTAGAGGTATTTGTATTTGCATTCTCTTCTGTACCCATAATTCCCAGTTGCTTTAGCTGTACATTTAAATGGTTTCTTGTTCCTCACAAGCTATTTGTACCAAGTAGCTTTTAACTTCTACAGAGATTTCCTTATAGGATGAGACAATATAGTACTTACTAATATAAGTACTATATCTGTCGGGGTGTCCCAGGCAACTTACTTCCTAACCATTGTGTCTCTTTTTCTTAGGCGCTGTGACATGTATATGGATGAATGAACAGTGTAGCAGTATCATCACGGGAGGGGAAGACAGACAGATTATGTTCTGGAAATTACAGTATTAAGTGCCTTTTCCTCTCCTGAATATTAAATTGAACTCTATTTAATATATTTTGAAACCAAACTTTTAAATGAACTGGTGAATGTGCAATGATAATAATTAGAAGTTTTACCACATGAGAAATCTGTGGTTTTAAACTTTCTAAATCATGGTGACTTCACTGAAAGCTGTTAGTTGCCATCCTCTAAGGCAGATAAAGATATAGCAGTGTTAAGGAGAAAACATTACATTTATAAGGCCAATGGTTGGTCAGGGACAGGTTCGAGTGGCAAAGTAAGTAGCTATAAGATGCTACACAGGGCTGGGGAAACTTTCAGAAAACACTGAACAATTTAGAATTTTCCAAGAAAATGTACAGTATTCTCTACTTCTGAGTCACTCTATTTTGTCTTACTGATATACACAACTGCTGCCCATTGGGTTTTGGGTATGTATTTTCATGGAGTGTTACTTTCTATAACCTACTATCCCCAGATTCTAAGAACCTGGAGAAGGATTAGCAGTTGTTTACTGTGTATAGGATTGGTTTATTTCATTATAGCAATTAAATGCTCATCTTTTCTATGACATTAAAAATATTTTTCTGTAATGAAAGGAGTTTTCATTTTCTTGTTTAAATGACATTATCAAGAAGAGTACATTTTAAGAATGTCAAGTATCGATCCTTGTAGAAAACCATAGTGATGCGAATGTCGTTCTTACACTTTTGGAACTATTTTCAGACCCAAGTCTGGATATGAAGTAGATAATCTAACTGGGAAACCCTGGTTTGATTTTCTAAATTTCAAACAAGGTAAGCTAAGAAGTAGTAGCCCTGATTTTCTTTTCTGAACCAACCACAATTATGTGATTTAAAATTTTTCTTTACTCTTTAAAAACGTTGTATCTTGTAGCAGTGTGGCGTGGGGGAAAAACACAAATCAGACCAAGGTAAAAGAATTTTCAGTCTGTTTAAGTGTCATCAAACATCACCTGCTCTTGGGTGTTGCTCGGGAGTCCGCAGCCTCACCGAGCTCCTGCTGCTCGGACGGGGCTGGGGCGCAGACCTGCCAGAAAGCACTCCTAACCCTCCTGACACTCCTGCTCTCTGAGCACAGCGGGCCTTTCTCAGGGCCCCTGGATGTCAGGTGCTATGGGAGTGACTCTCTTTCACAGGCCCAAGGTGAATTTCACGTGCCTATTTTCTACACCTTGCACAGGTTTGCTGAAAGCCGCAGTTTCCAAATAATGCAGTAACAGACTAAAATTTAACTTATATTTATTCATATTTAATTAGAATAGGTATAAACCAAAATGAAGGAAAAAATGAAGATAAAGTGTCAATGCCATTTTGTTTGTTTGCAGGGAGGAGTCAAAAAATGGAACAAATTACTGAACAACATTCTAAGACCATCCCAAAGTAGCTAGGTTACATAATGGTAAGAGAAAAATGTCAAAATTAAGTATTATCCCACTTAATCTACAAATGAAAAAAGAGAATCAAAAGCTTATCCTACTTACTACAAGAATTTTTACATTAAATATATAGTGATTCATTTCTCAGAAAACGATACCAATAACTTTTAGAAGAAAGAAGTTTCCATTACACAATGACTAGAAAATCTCAAATGCAATGAAGCAGCTATGCTGCAGCTCAGTGCACCGCTAAACTGCTCCGGCTAGTGGACGTTTCAGTTTAATACAGAACTGCACTATGGTTTTTAGAAAGGCAGCAATAGTTATATTTTGGCTTTTATTCTAGATGCTTAACATAGTTAAGGCGACAGTTCAAGCATATTAATTGAAGGTAGTTAAAATTTAATGATAATCAACACAATCGTTTGCAACCTACATACACTGTATAATGCTTACGTGGAATGAAACCAGTGTTATTTAATTGGTGTTGTACAGAGACGCACTACACACACACAGAACTAAAAAAAAAAAAGCTGTCAAAAGCAATCATTCTAAATGTACTATATGGTAGCAGAGTAAAAATGCAAATATACCATAGAACTAAAGTAATATATGAACAGCACTACTTGATTCATAAGATAAAGGTGACTGGTTCTAACACAAAGCTAAGCCTGCATCAGTCATTCTAATCATAATGGCTTGTAAAAGCATCAGGTTTCCAGTAGAGAAACTATTCTATGAAAGTCAGTAAGTCTTTTCAAAGTTTCACATCTGTAAAACCAGGATAAGGCTACAACTATCTTGAAGTCTGAACAAGGTACCAGATCAAAGAGTAAGATTCCCAGCCATCATGTAAGACAGAAAGGTCCTCATGCAGCATTTGCTCTCTGGCTCCTAGGAAGCTTCATGTGCAGAATATAAAGTTAAGTTGCCAAAGAAGTAAACTGGAGAAGTTCTGCCAAGTTTCCATGGTGCCACAACTTTTAAACCTCAGGAATGGTGTGGTCCATCAGGCTTTTCATAATGCTTGGTGCCATCCTACAAGAGAGTCACTAAAATTAAATACTGAAGTTTGGGTTTCTTTTTTCAAAAATCCTACATTGATCCAAGAAAACTCCAGTTCAAACTTAGCACCGTTTAGCATCAAGTGGGATGCTGCAGAGGGGGTAAGACTTTTTAATGAGTTCTGATCTAAGCGTCTCATGTAATCTGTTTTGCAAATATCCAGTGTGAAAGGCTATCTAGATCTTAACTAGAAAAGGTAGATAAGATACAGGTAAGTTCTTGTATATTAAGGCTGATGATTTTTTTTAAAAAAAGAAAATGACAATGCTGGAATGAATTGAGAGGGAAATTACGGTGGGGGGACGATGGTACCCATCATTGGTTTAAGAAGAGAGAACTCTTGAACAATTAGTGCTGACAATTTTTTTACCCCAAGAATAGCTAACTGCTTTCTACTCAGAAGCTGAAACAAAACTTTCATTACAAGTGTTATGTTTTTGAGTCTTTTTTATCTTATTTCCACATCAAAATAGATTCTGAAATAAGGATTCTAAGTTGGCCTGGCAAAAACAACTATTTCTAGGATTTTAAAAGCTCGAGAAAGATCATCACCCTTGCTGCCCCTTTTCTAGACTCTCCACTCAGCTTTCAGGTCCTCACCCTCCATATACCACACCCCCACACACCTCTACCTGCCTCCTGAGATGCTCAAGAGAATAAAACTGTGACTCCTAACATCCCATAGGCAAGACTTCGCCATCATGAACCACCATGAGTAGATTTCTGCTGAACACAGGCGCTCTAGGCAGTGTGCAGCCGCAGTCCGTTTTACTGAAAATTTGGAAGCTGGAATGAAAATGTGCCCACCTCTGCTCACATCCCCTTTTCCTACTAGGAGATGTCAAGATTTAGGAAGTGTATGGTGAATTTTATTCCATACTTGGGAAGTTGTGAAGAGTCACCCTTATCAATCAATTCCTCTGATTTAAGTAATTTACTTCAAGTTTTTAGATAAATACATCAATGTTGTCCATTAGGTAAAGAACCAAAGGTTTGAGAATTAAAAGAAAGCACAGTATTTATACTAAGTTACAGGACCATAATCATCAAGTTAAAAAATCACCTACTTACCGTTTAATAATATGTTCAAAGATAAAGGCAGGCATGATTGTAATAGTAACTACAGTCCCAGACGTTGACAATATGTCGGCAACTTGAGAGTCCTGTTGAAAACCCAGAATGAAAATCAATTTCATAGATGCTTTATTTAACAAATATAAAACTGTTTTCTTGATAAATATGTCCTCGTTTTGCTATGTCCTTACCAAGTTTAATTCTGTAAAATCACAATGTTATAGGTGGTAGCAAAATTGCTAAGTAAACTGAGTTGAACATATTAGCAAAAAAAAAATCATCTTTTTTATTACTTAAGATTAAATAATTTCCCCACATACAATATTACCATATCCCCTCAGTTAACTCTGTATTCTTAACCAAAATTTATGAAATGAGCAGGTCTTTCTGAAAAACTTTAGACCTTGAAATAGCCCTATCAGGAATTTGTGGGAAAACAAACATTATAAAAATGAAGTACCAATACGAACAGAAATGATTACTCATTTCCTACAATCCGGATTAAAAAAAGGAGGACAGTCATTCAGAATGCCATCAAATCTTCAATGGCCACATCTCCACACAATTCTAGTTCAAGGGACTTCAGAGATCATCTAGTCCAGCCCCTCTGTTATAGGAATTTCAGATAATTCCTTAGACTGGCCTGACAGCACAGCTGCCTGAAGGCACAGGTGGCACAGAGCACGACCAGAGCCCCAGGTCCCGTGTCACCCATTTCCCCACTGAGTTTCTATATTTTGGAAGTCAACGTGAAAACAGCACCACATAAACAGATAAGTGAAAAAGATATTTGCTAAAATAAAACCAAAACGAGACACAAGTTCTGTTCCTACCTTCAATCCAATGACATTCTGTCCATTAATTTCACAGATGTTATGTTCTGTGAGAAGACCGTTTCTGGCTGCAGAACTATCTTTCACTATGGATGTTATTTTTCCATTTTTAAAAATAAAACCAACATGTCCAGTACTATCCTTATGCATAGTAATTGTACGTTCGAAGGGCCTGAAAATATAATGGGTTCAATGAAAAATGTAATTCCATGGTAAACATTTTAATGTATTTCTACGGTGCCATACTGGATATTTTGTTACAATAAACAGTGTTTCTAATAAGAGCAACTAAGTATGGCTCTGATAATTGCACATTCACAGGACCTCTTAGCATAAAAGATTAAAACAGACCCTTCATTGGGGGGGTTGGGGGGGCGGGGCGGGTTAGGAGCACCGAACCCTGTGCAGTTAAAAGTCCATGTAAAACTTCTGACTCTGCAGACACTTAACTATAGTCAGCCCTCCACATCTGCAGACTCCCAACAGCAGATCAAAAAAGTTAACCTTTGAACAACATGGGTTTGAACTGCACAAGTCCACTTATGAATTAAATCTGTGTATAAGTTTAGCTGAGAATAAAAACCTAAAAGCTAACTGTGACAATGTGATATACAGGTCCACCCTTAACACTTGTGAGGGCCAGGACAGGGCATAAATGGAGGCCCATGTTTCACATGCTGAATGTTACAAACGAACTGCTAAATAAAATGTTTATCCCTCACCTTGACAACTAGAGCTTCCTAACCACCCAAAACGCCCGATTTGCCTTTCAAAATTCACAGAACACTTGGGAGCTATGCAGGACCCCTGGCGCTTACACCCTGGGCTGGGAGTCTAAGCAGTAAATTGGAAAGTGAGGCCAGAGATGCTGCCATGCTACTTGGTTTTCCAATGCACATTTTCTACGGTTCTTAGAGAAACAGATTAAGACAGGATAACTTCTCAGAGGAAAAATTTCTAAAAGCTATGAAATAAGGTATATACAAATCCAGAATGCTATTTAAAAAAAATCAAACTATGTAAGAAAAATCTGCACCACAATTTTAGGGCTCTAAGGCTCATCAAAAACATTTGATTATTTTCTGCAACAAAATATTATATTCACAGAATCTTAAAAGCATACCAAAATGGGAAACTATTTCCATTTGAACCCGTTAGATTACCTGTCACGAATAGTCATAGTAATCTTCTCTCCAAAAGCCTGTTTGAGCACCTTGTGTGCTTTATCAGAGCTCCAGCCAGCACAGTTTTCCCCATTGATCTGGAGTACTTGGTCCCCAAATCTCAGACCCACCAACGAGGCTGGAGAATTTGCCTGAACAAGCTGAACAAATATACCCTAGAGAATAAGACAATATCTCTGTTATGATATAGTTTTAAAATGCTGAAAATTTAGGAACCAACTGTTTAGATTAGGAATCTACCGTAGTAATAATAAAAAAAAATTACATATATGTGTCATTACCCCAAAAAAAGAAACTGAAAATTTTATCAAGGCAATGACCCCAAGAAGTAAGGCAAAAAAGTGAGATTTAAATGGTAATTTCTACCTCAAATCATGAACCATATGCCTAACCTCAATCACCGCCTTTCATCTGGGAATAAAAAGACTAAGGAAAATAAAGTGGAATTACTATAATAAATGTTAAGCTTCTATGGGTCTGACAGAATGCCAAATAGGTATTAGCTACATGACCATTATTTAAGGGGAAAGCAAGTCAAGTGTGAGAAGTTTCATGATATCTTTTACAGTTTAAAAAACGATAGTTTGAAGTCCTAACTCTACCTTTTGAGATGAAAGATTCCTTTACCCATTCGCTAAATTATGCATAAATAAGTAAGATTAGGGTGTATTTAACAGCTTAATAAAGTGGGCACATTCAATACCACTCCAGTTCTTATAAAAACTCCATTATGAAATAAATAAAAAAAACTTCAGTATGTTAAAATAAGAACTAAATCCACATGGACATTTTTACTTAAACTCTCGGTCTCACGTGTTGACAAAATATAAACAAATAAGTGTAAAAGGAGAGCAAACCTGATAAAATATGAAAGCATCTACAAGGCTAGACCCTATCTCCCATTTTATGCTGGGCCCGACAGGACTTGTCATGTGTCCTCTACTTCAGTTTAGGGTGGTGAATGAACAACAGGAAGCCTCCTATAAAGTGGTCTGACCACGGAGCTCTGGCCAAGTGGACAAATCAGCTGCAAGAATGACTGCACTGGGGGACTGGGGCCTGTGAAGAGTATCTTATTTCTTCAGGACAGAGGAAGTGGCGGAGAAGAAACTGTGGCAGACGGGGCAGCAAATACTCTATTCACTGAAGAGGAAGGGAGAGCAGCAAAGAGCTGCTCAAAGCAGCACGCTGATGTGTCCTGAGTAAGCTATGCATGTGCAGAGAAGAGACATGGATGCCCTTGGCCCTCTAGGTAGGCAAGCAAGGAAGGGGCCTCCTGCCAAGATCAGCCTCAGCCACTTCCCACAATGTGCCTCGCTCATTACCATTTTCCATGTGAAAAGCTTGGACACAATGAACTGAGACTTCAAGACTAAAAAGGAATGCAAAAAGGCAATGCCTAAAACCGTAAACTAGGGTAAAGACTTGGCATGTCCTTAATCCTGAATGCTTCCTCAAGAGTAACCTTGTTTAATTTCTTCAGTATGGTAAAAGGAGAAGTAACGCAATTATAAAGTAATGGCCGTCCTAATTAGAAAGTCACCTTTGCTCAGAAATGACCTATTAAATTCAAATTGAAGGATGGAAATAACAAAACTGCAAAACCACTTCACAAGAAGTTAAATGATCATCATTTAGTTTAAAAGTACTCATCATAAGACCACTGATTCTCACTAGTCAGTCCTTTTTTTAAAAAGACTTTTATTAAAATATAGCTAACATACAATACTATATTAGTTTCAGGTGCACACCATAGTCAATCAACATTTATATGGCTAAAGAGGCGATTACAGAAACAATTCTTGACAACCATTTCACACCATACAACACTCTTATAATATCATTGACTATATTCCCTATATTGTACACATCCCCAACTTACTTGTTTTAACCTGAAAATTTGAGCCTCTTATTCCCCTTCACATCCCCGCCCCCCACTTTTTTGATTTTTCAATTACAGTTGACATTCAATATTATATTAGTTTCAGGTGTACAGCATAATGGTTATAGACATTTATATAATGGTTAGTCTTAACTTCCACATATACTGTCCTATTTCAATGCTAGAATTCTATTTCTATAAACTATATTATAATATATGCAGACCAGAGAACTTTATTCAGAAAAGACGACTCAAAAAAGAAAAAAAAATGCATTCAAAGTAATGCTGGGAGTCCCAACTCTGCCTCTTCACAACAGAGCATCTCCAAGTGAAAAAAATTAAGTTAGCAGATTTAAAATAGTCTCATAGATACACCATTATATTTAATTAAAGCATTTCATTTTAAATGATTCTAAAATTGATCACTTAATATCCTATAAGCTATTTAGACAAATTCAAATGGACATTAAAAATACTTACATTATCTACTGATTTAAGCCTGAGCCCAATTTTTCCATCTTGATCCTTACACAAAATGACTTCACGAATCCCTTGCTTAATTTCTGCTCTACGAATTCCAACATCATTACCAGTTACAGGAGCCACCATATAGTTCATACTGGAAGGTCTTGCTACCAACTGCTGACAGAAACATATACAGTGTGTCAATATCTATAAACATTCTCTGTGAAAAAATCTAAAATAATAACTTGAATATAGTCAGTGTGGTTTCCCAAAAAGTAATCTGGGAATTATTTCCTTGAGATAAGGTTTGATTTATGCAAAAATGACGTTGGTTTTTATTTACTAACTCCCCAAGTAACGTATTCCCACATTTATCATCTCTAACAGAGTCAATGACCTACTCTCTGCTGCCTTCTGAATTCACTGCCATTTATATTATGTGTACTTTGGCTTGTCTTCAACTCAAATGCATTATCCCTGAACTTAAAGGCCATATCATATTTTTGAAACACACACATTTCCCAGAGGGCTCTTTTCTATGGTCTACTTACCCTTTCAGAGTTTCTGTAAAAGGGCAACCTTCTTACCTCCCAGTGCCATTGTCAAGATTATCATTTCTTGTCCCCTTTAACAAACATCTGTGGATTAACCAACTGCAGGCACTGCCCTAGAATAGCTCTCTTAGGGACTCATGTTTTTTTCAAGTTTTCTTGATCAAAACTGGTTTCTTATTTTAAGCAGAATGATTGAGGAAAGGTCTTCAATCAAAAAAAAGTGAGGGAAGAACTCACCAAGATCTCTGTCATAAAGAGTTCTGATCTACCTAAGAACTGTGATGCTCAGAGCAGCAACAATGAGGAAAGAGGAAGCTTGGCTATACAAATACACCACAGATTTTAAATTTTTTTCATACAGAACTCATAGTAATTATGACAGCATATTCTAAAGCTGATAGTCTACCAGGAGTAACACACACACATACTATACAACTATATTAGAAATCAGAACACGAAGCCAGAAAATATTACTTATGAAGGATTACAAAAATTCAAAATAAATAATAGCTACGAGACAGAAAAATCAGGTAATGGAATAGAAAAAAAATTTCAGAGACAAATAAATTATTAAGTTTAGCTGGAATACAGAACAAAAAGATAGCCTCTAGAGTAGGTTTTACTTTTGAAAAAGAAATCTTTATTTTTTACAGCAAGTGTTTTTAAGTACCTACATGTGTTCTTACCTACTATGACCATTATGACCGACACCACGTTGGTTACCTCTGCCCCCCACCCTCCGCCCCTAAGCAACCACCTCTGGCGAGGCTACTACAGTAAGCTTCTAGATAGTCCCTCTGCTTAGCCTCTTGCCCCTCTACTACCCATTCCCTACAGAGCAAGAATAGACATCTTTTTAAAAAAAAAATCAGATTATACCCTTCCACAATTCATATCCCAATCCCTTACCGTGGAATAAAAGGCCACAGGCCACCTGGCCCTAACCACCTCTCCAATGCCATCTGCTACCATGTTCTAATTTGTTTCCTCTGCCGTTGTCTCTCAGGTCCGTCAAGTTCATTTCTGCCTGAAGGCCTTTCAGTTCTCTTTCTATACTGTAGGGAATGTCCTCCTATCAGATAGTCACATGGCTCGGTCTCTCATTTCATTCAGCTTTCTGCTCAAATGTCAATCTTTCAGAGAGAATGTATATGCTCGCCTAATTAAAATATAGCCCTGGAAATCTATTCACTTACTCTTCTATATGTCATACATACAGTTGATTTGTTTAGAACATGAGTTTACTGGAACGGGGGAAGGGACTGTGGTTCACTATTCTAACTCTTCTATCTACCACAGCTAGCACAGTGCCTGCAGTGTGCAGGGTCTTAAGCTACTGGCTCTCATCTCCATTCACTGAAGGTGCCCATGGAAGACAACGTATCAAAAGGCTGGGATTCTATCTTATAGGATACAATATATGCTTTGAGCAACCAAATACATAATGAGCTTTCTTCTAAGCCCTGAATATAAGGCCTGGAAACCAAAGTGTAGCTGTGGGTATGGTCGCTCTCACTCACTGCTACACCTGAACGCCCAAATGCAAAACTTCCGCATCCCATGCCCACACCTTTGAGCTCTGCAGTTTGGAGGTCTTGCTTACCAGGGAGGAATGCCTCCAGCAGGGGACACAACAATGTTTGCCCTGAATAAGAAGGTCACTACCTAACTGCTTTTGACTTCACATGCCACTGAAACACAACAATGTTTGCCCTGAATAAGAAGGTCACTACCTGCTTTTGACTTCACATGCCACTGAAACGAAGGCAAGAAGACATTACTGACCTCGTTGGGGTGGTTAACTCTGCCCACCAAGAGGAAATGGCTGCTGCTAGATAATGAGTTCCCAGCTGCATCTGGAACCTGGGGGGTTCTCCGAGATGCCTTTAGGTCTTCCATGTCCAACAGTAAAATTAATTAAAAAAAACCCAGACTTCTGCTTTCAGGCATAATGGAGCCAGACTTACCCTCCTGCCATAATCAACTAGAAAAGTAGAAAAATAGGAAGCAGCAATTTTTGGACAGTAGATTTTGGCAGCATAGGCAGTGATCCTTGAGAAAAGGTAACCACATAAGGTGGCCCCTATTGTCACCTGGCTTTCTACACTGTCTAGGGCAGGGCACAGAGGTGCCAATCCCAAGCAGTCACTGTGTTGATGAGTTGAGGAGACAAAGATCAGAGGTCAGGAGGCTAAAGCAGCTCATAAGACAGCTGGAATTTTCAGGGATGAATCTCAAAGAGGAGGGATTGCTAGAGATAGATCTCCAGACTCCTTGAGTCTGTGGCTGAACACTAATCTGAGTATATGTGAGGTGAAGCTCCACAAGGCAGGCAAAGCACATGCAAGCAGCTGTAGCTGAACAGTTCCTGGAGCTCACACAGGGCTGGGAGCCATTTAAGCTCCCAGCAGCCAGATGAGTATGCTCGTCGCACACCCAGAGCACTGAGCAGAGCTCCAGAGGGGACATGCCGCCTCCTTAGTGGTGGGGCTACACAAGCCCTGCAGTTCAGGCTGCTTCAGACCTACCTCAACAAAGTGTAAAAACAAGCCCCAGAAGGATCAAGCTGATCCGCATGTAACTTAATTGCCTGCCGGAACAGGTGCCTATACTCCTGAAAGAAATACAACATAATCCAGCACCTGACGACATAAAATTAAAAAACAGGTAGCATATGAACAAGCATGAAAATGTAAACCTACAGTCAGGAGAAAAATCAGTCAATAGAATGAGATCTGGAAATAAATCATGAAATTAGCAGGCAGATTTTAAAATAGCCACTATAAAAGTATATGCTCAATATGCACAAGAATTTAAAAATAAAATAAAGGAAGAGAGAAATAGAAGACATAAAAACCAGGTGGAACATCTAGAGAAGAAAAATACAATACGTAAAATGAAAAATTCACCAGATGGGAAGAGTTAATAGAGAAATCTCCACCAATAAATTAAAAAAAAGAAAGAAATGGTAGGGCACTAAAGAGCCCTGGTGATTCAGACACTTCAAAGACGAAGGTTTAGGTTATTTACGCCAATAAACATTAAGAAAGAAAAGACTAAAGCTTCCTGACTAGTTACCAAAATAAGAATTACACAGCTCTAACTATTTTCTTCTCCGTCTGTATCTATAAATTTTCTGCACATATAGTAATTAACCTTTTTGTTTCTCCCTGCCTCCTTTTCCTTTAATAAATGAACTGTTGGTATTGGTTAACTTTATACTTTTGTCTATAGGTTAAAAATATTCAGCTTGGAATCTGAATACTTAAGGACGGTAATTAATATCACACAGTAATCAATACCTTGGACCACTGCCCAGATAAAGCCACGATAACTGCTATCGTCCTATTCTGGGGAAAAGAAAAGAGTAACCTCAGTATATCAGAGGTCACTGACTTGATTTTGTAAGGATAGTAAGGATAGTTTTAATTATTTCTAAAAATTTGTAAAGAAAGAAAAGAACAAGAATATGCAACAAAGATCATGTGCAGTCAGCAAAAAAAACCCTAAAATACTTACTGTGGGTCCTTTAATAGAAAATGTTTGCCAAACCTCAATTTTATGAAGAATTGCATCTTTTAAGGGGAGACTAATAAAGTTGTTATTACTGTCACGCAAAGTTGGAATCTGTAGAAGTGTATGGATATACTGAGTAGTCAAAGGAGTAGGCAATGCAAGGTAATAAGCTACTGTCCATCAGCTCCAAAACCTTCCCATCTAGATGCTGGGGGTAGAACTATGCAAATTAACATTTTCCTTTGTCAGCGGGTTTCTGGTTAACACCTACCACAGGAGGCACTAGAGGGAGACTTGAAGGCTAAAGAAGGACAAGTCCTCATTTCTGGTTTGCTTCCTGTTCCTGTCAACACTGCCTGGGCCTAGCCCTTAACCTTGGTGACAGCAGTGAATTCCATTCTCCAGCTCTTACTGACAATCTCAGAACGGGCCTCTTTGCAACTCCTCTGAGGTACCAGCATCAACTGTGTGCCCTCCTCCAAGGTCTGAGGCCTGGCTCCATGGAGCTCTTCCCCCAGGCTTCTAGGTTCTGATTACTTCAAACTCTCTGTGTTACTCCAGTCCTAAGAGGAGCACCTACTTTCTGCAATTACATATGTATGTATTTCATTTTTGCTTTTTTTCAATTCTTAAACCTGTCTAATTTCTTAAATTATCTCTATTGAAATATCTATTTCTATTGAAATTTATGATATAATCAAATTTTTAATAAATATTTGGTAGATAAATAAATACCAGGCAGGTACTGGATTAAGTACTAGGGTTATGGCAACGAGATAGACAGGGACTCTGTCCTCTTGAAGTATTTAACTATCATTATAGTAAGAGCTATAAAATGCTACTATGGTCTTATAGCAATGACCTTAATAAAAGGCTATGAGATACATTATATTTAAGCCTAGAATTTGGAGTCTAATTACAAGGAACTTTAGACCTCGAAACATTAAAAAATTGTGAGCAAAAAAAAAAAAAAAGATATAACAGACCTGTACTTCGGAATGATTCATCTAGCATCAGCTTCGTACTATTTGTTGCAAGAAGTTAAAAGAGGAAATATGTGACACTAATAATCTAGGTTAAAAGTATAGAAACCTCAAATTGGGTGATAGTAGGACTGGAATACATAAAATGAATACAAGAAACATGACGGAGACAGAATCACTAGGTCTTAGTAACTGACCAAATGCAAAAGACAAAGAAGAATGGACTAGTCAAAGGTATCTAAATTTTTAACTCCTAATAAATTAAAGAAGTGGTAACAGCACAAAAGGAAGTATACTACTTAGAAGTGTTATTCAGAAGGCAGTCTAAAATTTCTGAGAGGTCAATGCTAAAGTTATATATTTGTGAGTTAGCTACAAAAAGGAAAGCTGATATCTATATGTAAAAGCATGATTTTATATAATTCAAAATTAATTAGTATACATACCCCCTGAGTTGATGCTCCAGGGATCATGGCCATATTTGCATGTATTTCTTCTTCATTTAAACTCAGGCCCATGTACTGAGAGAGCTCCGGATACAATTTAGGATAGAGATCTAATATAAATAAATGAGTGAAGAAAAAACATTCAAATGAAATATTTTTGAACAGAATTTTCAAAATGAAAATTTATTATAATGGGCTCCTACCTGTGTTTAAAAAATTACATTAATTTATAAATCTAACATAAACTTAACTATTTGGAAAAACATTTCCCTATCTCTTTAATGTCAATCAGAAATAAAAAATACAGAAAAAGCTTAAGGTGAAAGTCATAAAAAAATGAAGACATCTGAATTGACATATCCTCAAACTTCTAAATATTCAGAAGAATAATTTTTCCAAATTAAGTTATCTTGCCTTCCTTTTTCTTAAAAATAACCAATTTGACTAGCAATTTTGTAAATATACCACTGATTCTCTAATATAAAACAGCCGACCAAAATGTTGACCGCAAGGCAGGTACTTTATAATTCAATTAGTAAACACAGCTATGAAATGATTCTTATCAATTAACTACAATTTTTTAAAAAAGCAAAGCTTGGAAGTTTATTGTCATATCCTTTTAAGAATGCTAAGCACATTCCAATGAAATCTTGGAAATGATATATTTAAATATTAACAGTATTCTACTTAGTAGTAAGAGGTACTATTCCTGAAAGCTCTTTACCTGATTTGACTTAAAATGGATTTTCTAAAAGAAACAAGGTTATAAATAGTTATCAGAGGCCACAAAAACCTATTTAACTCCTTTTGTATCTTAAGTCACATTATTTAAGGGCTCTCTCCTGAATACCTATGAATTTAGAAGGAAAAGGGACCAAAGAGAAGGACATGGAGATGGTAGATTCCAGAATTCAGGAAGGTCCCCCAAAACAAGGTGGCTGAAAATTCCCCCCACCTCCAAAAACAGAGAACAGTTCGGGAAGTTGAAGAGCAGTGGTATAGGCACAGTTCACATATATGTATCAGTCATAAGTGAAGAACTTATGAGGACTAAAATTTCATTTAATTAACTTAATTTTCATTAAGCCGTAAAACACATCTTCACATTGACAGTTCACTTTCTTGATTAAAGGTTTACTTTTTAAAAGAAACATTTTTTCTCACTACTAAAACTTTTACTACCAATTTTATGCTGCATCAATTTTTTTTTAAATCTTGGATTCCCCATTTCAGCAAAAGAAGGGCAAAGATTTCTGTTCAAGGAAAATGAACCCCAAGTATAAACCTACTTCCATCTTGAGAAATGGGAGCAGACGCTTCAGACAAAATTGCTGAATTGGCAGGGTTTGCAGAAAAGGCACTTTGAGCCTGAAAAAGAAAAGAAGAACATTCTAACAACAATGTTATATATATATGCTTACTTAAAATTCTTATATAAGTTAAATTCAGTACTTTCAAAAAGAAACTAAAACACTGAAGCTGTATTCAGGAAAGTTTAATTTCAAATGCTTCAGCAATATATTTTTCAAAGAAAATATGCAAATCAAAAATATATTTCATACTCTAAATATTTTAACACTGTCACATAAAACTTGACTAAGCACCATTCTATATATCTTATAACCAATACTTCATAGTGAGGCTGCAAATCAATAAATTAATATTTTCAAAATGTATTATAAAATGCATGGCAACTTATTGCCGTTTTTCTTTTACTTGTCTAAGATATTTTATTTGCATAAGAAGAAAAGCTCAACTATATATTAAAAGTCACATATCAAAAAACATCTATAAATTTAACTACTTATTAAATTCTTAATTATTCTAGCACGTCAGCATATCCCACTGAAATAAGCTTTATCTTCATTTTAGCAAGCATAAGAAGGGGTTACTAATTATACCAAATTCAAAAACGTTATAGAGTACGCAAAACACATACTTTATCAATGACATAATATAATGATGATAAAGGAATGTAATTTGTAACTGTCAAATAAACATTTGACGACATATATATTTATTAATGCTACTCAGGCTCAAGTATGCCAGCAACTCCCCTCTGTGCCGCCTTTAGAAAGCCCATGTCATATTGCATAGCCCACTGACAGAAATCTTTTCTCCTTTACAGGCAGATCTGACTTTCCGAAAGAGTTACATCATTTAGAGATAAAGCTGGTAATAAGTTGCATGACCCATCTCAAATATCTCTTCTTACATAATCAGAAACATGTTAATTAAGTAGGAAAGCTTATACCTGCATCTCAACCGAGCCCTGAAATTAATGCCAAGAGTAGTCCCAAAGATCCTTGGAAAGAGATGGAAGCTTAATTTAAATTCGCACGGCCTACAAAGCATTGAATGATACTTCACTCCCATGGACTGTAAATGTTCTGATATGCTTGTTATTGAGTCATTCTTTAATATTTACTTTTTATAACTTGGCACATTCTAAGCTGAAATAACAAGCAGCATGAAAATCTTTATAATTTTAAATAACAATCCACAAACTCAAAGTATGTTGAATTCCGAAAGTTCTTTCACCAGGTATCAGCTAAAAGAAACTAGAGGCCAGTGGATTACTTCTTGGATAATTCTAAGAAAAAAAAACAAAACACTGTTCAGCACTAAAAATTTAGAAATGAACTACAGAGCCATGAAAAGACATGGAGGAAACTTAAATTCCTATTACTAAGTGAAAGAAACCAATCTGAAAAGGCTGAATACTGTGTGACTCCAACTATATGACATTCTGGAAAAGGCAAAACCATGGAGAGACCAGTAAAGAGATCAGCAGTTGTCAGGTATTAGTGAGGCGAGAGAGAGGAAAAGGCGGCACGGAGAATTTTTAGGGCAGTGAAAATATGTCATACATTTGTCAAAACCAAAGGAGTGTACCACACTAAGAGTGAACATTGATGTAACAATGGACTCTGGGTGGTAACAATGTGTCAGCATAGAAAATCGGCTGAAAGGAGTGCACCACTCTGGTGAGGATGTTGATAGTCCACGAGGATGTGCATTGTGTACTGAGGGGGAGGTAAAATGGAAACTCTTTGTACCTTCCATTCAATTTTGCTGTGAAACTAAAACTGCTCAAAATGGTAGAATTCATTTTTAAAAACTGGTCTTTTTTAGATTGGTTATTATTTTCTATTTTTTCATTCATTGCTATTGTTCTTACCCAAGGAATACTGAAAAATATACATAGAAAGCTCTCTGCAAACAAAGTTATCTAATTATTATGTAATCTGGAGTAGTAAAAGAAAGATGGTACAACAAGGGCTTAAGGACTATGAGTCATTAAGTGTAGCAAATTGTTTCACACTAACTTGAACTCTCAAACTATTTTTAAAAGGGTGTGTGTGGTGGGGTGCGGTCTCCCAAGGAGCACACAGTTGCTGCCAGGGCATGTCCTTTCTGCTATTACAGAAAGTGAGTGGAGAGAACGTGGAGCCACCACTGCCAAACTCTACTACTCACTGTGTTAGGAAATTGATGAGCACTAGATCTCTATATCATTATTTCTTAAAAGCTTATTTTGTATAGGTACAGCAATCGCAGGCTCCTGTTCAGGATTCATAATGGACAGAGAGGTTCAGGGATTAAATAATGCTAAAAGCTACAGCCTAATGGCTATTGTAATGTAGTTTACAAAATATGAATTGCCAGTTCACTGAGGCAATGTAGCTTTGCTATGGTGTCAAAGGCCAGAAGATTAGAAAATAAATACCACTTCTGCAGAGGCATCTCGAGAACAGAAATAAACCTAAGTATCAACTACCACAGAAAACGAACAAACAGCCTAAGACTTTAGTAGCTAGGCTAGGAATATTTTTAAACACAGTGAGAATTTAAAATTTCTTAAATTAAAAATTAAAAGTTTCCCCCTCCTTACTCATTTCTATATTTCCAAGCAGCTAGCTTTCTGCTCAGAACATAAAAGGTCTTCAAATGGAGATATCCATATAATGTGCTTCTCCTTAAAGAGGTTAGCCTGTGTCGGTTGTAGCCCTCTTTATTCTCTAATCCAGTATTTGTCAATATCAAGTCTTTTCTTCTTTTTCTGCTGTTTTCTAAATCAAAAACTTCTGCTCAAAGTTATTTATAGTTAGAGTTCATTCCATAAAAATAATAAAAGATGAAAGAGATTAGTCATTCTTTCAGATTCATCTGCAAATCCTTATCATTTATTGCTCTGATTTCATACTAATGGCTTAACTGTTATTCCTGAATGCTAAATATTTCAAATAAAGCCTTTTTAAAAGAAAAATGCATTTGTTTTGATGAACTTTGTGAAAATAAAAACTACATGAGAAAAATACTGAAGAAAGAAGTGACAGAGCATTTAAGATGCCTGAACAGGCCACTTAAAACTGTGAGGCATCAAAGCCTTGGCAACTGAACAATAGATTTCAGAGATTTTACAAACCACATTTTAATATCCACAGTGGACCTATGATGGAAAATACATGTTCACTGATCTACCCCCATATTTACCCAATCATTACTACAAGGTTAATAACTCCGGCCATGTATTTGTTACTATTATTGCTGGGGTTTTTTTCCACCCTAAAATGGTCAACAGTTTGCCTGTATGTTCTCAAGATTGCTTAAGAATTCCCATAAGTTTGAAATAAACATTTTATGCTCATTAAAAAATTATTAAGAAGTAAATCTCAGAGTCAACCGAGGTCAAGGTCTCAAGTAAAATGATCTTTGGAATAAATAGCTTTGAAGTAACAAATAACTCAAAAAGAATTTCATCACATTTATCATATTAAGATTTTAGGAATAAAAAAGTAAAAGGAGTTTGATTTATCTTGTCAAATTAAGAGTAACATCAGCTGAAAAAATTCTGAGTTATAAGAGATCATGTTCAAAGTAAACTGGAAACAAGATGGGTTCATTAAAAAATAAAAATTTACAAAATATAAAGAAGTGATCCCAATCTCAAACTTTTTTCCTCACCAGAAGTATCTGTTTCCAAAGCTAATACCTCCATGAAAGGACTACAAAGTTTCAAGTCAAGGAAATTAGAAATACGGTAATCTCTAACAGTTATTTAAAGCCCGGACACGTGAAATGTCTGCTGCTTATATTTACAGGGAAATAAATCACTACGCTTTCATTGTGCTTTCTACACTACTACTCTTCTGTAAGCAACATGTACATTTGCTATTTCTATAATTTTTAACTTCAAAAAGGCAGCAAAGAATTATTTTAAAGACTGGTCATGCCTGAAAATTCAAAAGAACAATGAGCTATAACTTTAAACAAAAAAATTAGAACATCTAAAAAGTTGGCATGTATTATACCAACTTATACGTTGTATTTAATTTAAATTTTAGTCATATAATCTGAAAAGTTTAAGTCCAGTTTTGAAGAAATAATATCCCATGCCCGATAATTCACAATGAAATGAAATGCTAGCTTTCCTGTATCTTTATAATCTCCAATTAATAAACTGAAAAAAGTGAATGCAGTGTACAAGTGAACAAAGACATCTATTTAAGCTTCTTGCTTCACTTTACCTCATATAAAATGTACAGCATAATATATGGGGAAAACAAGTACTTCAACAAATTAAACATACCTGAATTACTTTGTCTACCTTCAGGTCTTCAAGAGATGGGTACAGAGACATTTTTGCAGAATTTTTCTAAAGAAAAAAAAAAAAGTAAATTTCTGTGATTCAAATTTTATATAATATACATAGCCAACATTAGCCAACAACATACACATAATGTGTGTAAATGTTTAACACAATAAAAACATTTAGACCCATGCCCGATAATTCACAATGAAATGAAATGCTAGCTTTCCTGTATCTTTATAATCTCCAATTAATAAACTGAAAAAAGTGAATGCAGTGTACAAGTGAACAAAGACATCTATTTAAGCTTCTTGCTTCACTTTACCTCTAAGTAAAATGTACAGCATAATATATGGGGAAAACAAGTACTTCAACAAATTAAACATACCTGAATTACTTTGTCTACCTTCAGGTCTTCAAGAGATGGGTACAGAGACATTTTTGCAGAATTTTTCTAAAGAAAAAAAAAAAGTAAATTTCTGTGATTCAAATTTTATATAATATACATAGCCAACATTAGCCAACAACATACACATAACGTGTGTAAATGTTTAACACAATAAAAAACATTTAAATTACAAAACACAGAGAAAAATATGAACATCTAGGCTATACTAAAAATTGTTATCTAATTAATGGTTACTAAACTACCTCTCCCATGGTTACCATTATTATCAAAACATATCTATTACAGACTTTAAACTTCCTGGCAAGTAAAAGTCCCTTCATTTCAAAAGTTAAGGAAAGCAGAGAACGGTTATGTAATTTAACTAGTGTACATATAGTGCTTGGCAAATAAGGATTACAACCTTACAACAAAAACCTGAGAATAGCTCATATTCAGTATTTATCTATATAGCCTCTATCAGTAGGAAATATATATATACACATATGTGTGTGTATAGACATAGATGTAACTGGAATTGTAACCTCACGCAAACTGTTTCTTTAATATGGCTTTTTTCTTATTCAAGCAGACTTTGCCTAATTTAACAGCATTGAAAAAGCTGTTAAATTAGGCAAAGACTCACTTGCTTTTTCTGTTCTGCCCTTATCCTGCCACCTTTGTTATGCATACTCTCTCATTCCAAGACATGGAAGATTTTGATTTATCTTTTTGGATACCATCCGGAATAAAATTGGTCCTAGGAGAAATTGTAGTTAGGCCTAACTGTATTAGTGTTAACATTAGTCTTTTACAGAATGTTAAAAATAATCATAACAACTAAATTATGTAGACAGGCCTTGACAGCCAGGTAGCAAATGCACCTTAGAACTCTTCCTTCAGCTAAAGGAACTGAACACCAGGTCTCATTGCAAGTTCGAGCGTTTCATGATGAATTATTGTCCCACGAGCCCATTACAGGTAGATAAACTAAACTTTCAGAGAAATGGAAATGAGGAAATAACAGTGGGGATTGGAACTGTGATTGTTGTGGTTTTACTATAATCTTATAATTGTAACCATTTTTTTATTTTTCCTTTTTGTCCTTACGATCTCGCTCTCATATTTTATGTATATAAAAAGGCCTTGTTAACTAATGTGTAACTTGTAGACAAACAGCTGGTTTAATTGAGAACTCTAGGAACAGACTTCAAAGAAACCTAGCTTAGTTTCCAGATGTTCAGTGGCAGAAGACCACAAAATCCTCCCCAGACCTCCGCTGCACCATCCAGGCTGCTAATCAGAGCTGCTCCCCAACCCCTCCTTGTTAATTCCTCTGTTCCACTCGCCCCTCCAGGTGGCTGAGAAACAAGCCAAGGCCGAAAAGACAAGATACATGGCCTTGGTCCCCTCCTCCCCTCTGGGATGTAGCCTTCTCTGGGCTCTGGAATCCCCCTCTCCACCTAAATAAATCCCTTACTCAGCCTTCGCCCTGTCATAACCCCTGCCTGCGCTGAAGCAGCAAGACAGCCTTTGTGACAGCAATCCCCCTCTCTTCCCAGGATGTCGGCTATTGAATAAATCTACTTTCCTACCAAATTCTTGTCCCTCGAGTTACTGGCTTATGGGTGGCAAGCAGGCAGACCTGAGTTCAGTAACATATATATCAATATATACATATATACATACAGTTGACCCTTCAAGGATCAACCTATATTTCAATCTGCAATCGGGAGTTTATATATGCAGAGGGCCAACTTAAGGTATACTCAGATTTTCAGCACCGAGGGTGATCCAGTCCCCTTTCTATCCAACAGTCAACTGTATATAGGAAAAAGAATATACTGAACACCAACTGTTAAAAACAGTTTTATCTTCAAGAGGTGTAAATGAAATACTAAGGTACTGAGGGAAAAGAGGGAAATTTTTACATTTTAAGCATTTCAATATTGTTCAGTGTTTTAGTGACCATGAAATTACTTTTTGAAGTAATTTAAAACAAAATCTTCTACAAGCTTTACAAGAATGTGTACTTTGAGATTTTGTTTAGCTATTCTGAGATGAATACCTGGCACTTTCTTTAAACCCAACATAAGAGAATATATCCTAAATTGGTATAGGATTTGACATAGGTTCTTGAGCCGGTTATTTTCATCTCATCTCCAAATCTACCCATTACTGGCTGCTCTCTGAAAGTGAAGATAGGCCCGTCAGATATTGGTCTTTTACCAGCTGGCACGATGATAAGCACTGTAGGTAAAGGGAGCTGGAGGTGCTACACAGACGTTTTCTCCAGCGAGGCTCCTACACTGCCTGCTTCTCTACTGTCTTGCTCCCACAGGGAGCAGCCTCTTAAGCACCAGCCTCCGTGCTGCACAGTAGCCCACTGACCCCTGCACTATGCTGAGCAGTTTCCCAGCACAGTGCCACCAGCAAGGCATCTCTCTCAGGAATAGCTTTCCCCAGCATGCCCAGTGGGTTCCAAGGTGCAACCCCTCTCGGTGACTGGGCACCCCCAATACCCAAATGGCGAACCTCAGTAAGTTTGGTGTCTTGGAAACTTTACCATCCAGGGAGTGGTGGCTGTGCTTCTCTCCAAGGCCTGGATCTCAGATGTAGGAAAAGGGCAGCCTCTTCCTGGGGCTCTGAGCTCTGGGGTTAGTAGACACTTATTAAATGTACTCTCCTATACTCATTAAAGTCCTCTTTACTTCTTACTAGCCAATTTCTGTTTCTTCAATCATGTTATAGTTAATAATTCTGTATATAAAACTTTCACTGTTCAAATTACCATATAGTTTCTGTCTCTTGATCTGAATATTACACAGTAAGTTATTTTCTTGATTGATATACTTCACATATCATAAAATCTACTTTTTAAGTTCATGATGGAAGTTCTTCATATATTCAGAGCTGTGCCATCATCCCTACCATCTATTAACAGAACATTTCATCACCCCCCAAAAGAAACTTCATGTCGACCCATTCTCCCCTCCCTCCAGCTCCAGGCAACTACAAATCTACTTTCTGCCTCTTGATTTGTCTGTTCTGGACATTTAATTTAGAATCACAAGAGTATGTGGCCTTCTGTGTCTGGTTTCTTTCATTTAGTGTAATGCATTCAGGTTCATCCATGTTGCACCATGTACCAGTACTTCACTCCTTTTTATTGCTGAACAATATTCCATTGCGTGGATATGCCTCGTTTTGGGTATCCATTCATGAGTCAATGATATTTTGGGTTGTTCTACATTTTTTGACTGTTATGAATAATGCTGTTAATAATGGGAATAAACATTTGCATCTAAGTTCTATATAAACATATGTTTAATTCTCTTGGAATTCAGCTAAGAGTATAATTTCTGAGTCATATGGTAACTCTATGTTTAACTTTTTGATGAACTACCAAAATGGTTCCCAAAATTTGTTGAATTTTAACATTTTACATTTCCTCTAGCGACATACAAGAAAGAGTTCCGATTTCTCCACATCCTCGCCAATATTATCTGCTTTTTTTTATTATTACAGCCAAGTAGATGTAGAATGTGAAGTAGCATCTCACTACAGTTTTGATTTGTATTTCCCTAATGACTGATTATATTGAGCATCTTTTCATGCGCTTACTAGCCATCTATATATTTTCTTTGGAGAAATGTCTGTTCAAATCCTTTGCCCATCTTATTTCTTTTTCCTAATTGCCCTGGGCTAGAACCTCCAATAAAATGCTAAACAGAGGTAGACTGATATAGTTTTTAAAGAGAAATTAGGGCTTAGGTTAGTGAATGAAATGAAAATTCCTGAGAAAGTACAATAAAACATGGCTTAAATTTTATTAATCCAGAAAAACAAAATGGAGTTCCTTTCCTGTCTCTTAATAGATCAGTTCCCTAACAGCTTTCTCTTTAAACACATTTTATTTAAACTTTTAACCGTTCTATCAACGGCATAAATAAAATCATTTTAAATTCACTGGGACAAATGTTGACTGGTAATACTATTTCTATTTTTAGTTCTGCCACTGACTACCTACCCACAAGATCCCCTTTTCCTTATGAAAAATGATCTGGATGAGTAGTTAATTTTAAAGCTCGTACACTCAAGCCTAGAAGAGAAATGGGCTTTTCAGAATTTTTTTAAAAGAAGAAATAATACCCCAACTTGCATATTCTTTAAAATTTAGTTTCAGGTTTGTTTGCTCTAAGTTTGTTGAACTTAATTAAATCTTTTTATTCTTCTAAAAAATAAAGAATTCCTCAATGATTTTACCTCAAACTATTTTCTTAGCCTCATTTCATCTAATTTCTTTTCAATCATTACAGTATTATAATCACAAAATACTTGTTCCTTTCCACCCAGACCAAGGGCTTCTGTGGCTCCATATCTTTGCAAAAACTGCTTCCTCTTCCTGGAATATGTCTCTCCAAAACTTCTCTATCAAAATCCTAGTCAAGAGCCACTTCTGTGAGGGCACTTTTGATGAGCTCAGTCTGACATTATTTGTTTTTCTCAAGTCGGCAGTTTCACTCTGCCTTACATTACATCTAGTTTGCTTTTCTCTGTAACTTGAGGCCAAGGTCCACACTTAATTTCTTATTTATTTAGCATGATGCCTTATCCTGAAAGGAATCAAATGTTTATTAAATATTTTGACCAATGTTATCAAAATAACAGTAAATATTTTTAAAATACTTATTGAAAAGTTAGTATTTTCTTATCTTGCATGCAAGTCTACAATTTTGCACATACTACAGTTAAAAGCGTTCTAGGAGAATAACAAATTTTTGTATTACTTTTCTAAAGGGTTCCATTAACTCACTTGCATACTACATTTAAATCTTTGACCTAATGCAAAGTATCAAAACTACTTAGCTCTTGAAGAATCACAAAGCTACTCTTGAAAAATTCTTTCAACCATGGTTGGAATTTCAGAATGACCATTAATGAGATTTAAGAGGATTCTGAAAATAATTCTATTAGGTCAGAATTTCACCCTCACTTAAAACTCCTATCAAACACTACTATTACATCAACTACACTGCAGAACACTGTTCCCAGGCCTTCCCTGCAGCTGACTGAGTAATCAATATAAGACACAGCTCCCACTGCTCCTCAGACCAGCAGGGAAAACATCCCTGCCATATATCACAACTGCAGCACAGCTCTCCTGACTTTACCAGCTGTTTCATCGGTCTAGTTCCTGGAAAAAGACTTGGGTTCTGCATTTACCGCAGAACCAAGTCTGGCCCACTCTAAGCTCTCTGCAGCCTCCTTGACCTTCTTCACGGCTTATGAAGGGCCTCCACACCACTGCACTCCCAGGCTTTACTAAGTAACCCCAAATTACTAAGAAGTTTCTCAATGGAGTAGTTTCAGGATTTTTTTTTTTTTTAAGAATATCTAAAGATAAAAAATCCCTGACTATTCTGCCTCAGTACCAAGTTCCCCATGTGACCATCCACCCCGCCTCAGGGCAATGTCAGGGAAACTTTCTTGGAGCCTTTAAAAATGAGCACAGACCAAAGGCCTCCGTAACTCAAATACTGCACGTTGTATTTTGGAACATCTAGTTAATCTGCTTTCTAGCTGCAACACTGATTAATGAAGTAAGAAACATACTAGTAAAGTTTTCCAGATAGTACTACCTGGAATGGCAATATCCATCATTTTCTGAGTTGCTGACCTCACTCCTTTTCTCAAACCACTGACTACAAGTGGTCTTAAAATTGGTATGGTGTGAAAGGTATGTTCAATATAAGAAATACTGGGAAACACTAGTCACAAAATCTCAAGGAACCAAAATCACATCTGATGGTGTCACAGGTCATGTTTTTGAAGTGAGCCTAGCTGATCTGCAGAATGATGAAGTTGCATTTAAAAAATGCAAGCTAACTATTGAAGATATTTAGGGCAAAAAATGCCTAACTTCCAATGCATGGATCTTACCCATGACAAAATGTGCTCCATAGTCACAAAATGGCAGACCATGATTAAAGCTCATGTTGATGTCAAGACTACCGATGGTATTTGCTTTGATATTCTGTGTTGGTTTTACTAAAAAATGCAACATTCAGATTCTGAAGACTTCTTATGGTCAGCATCAACAAGCCCACCAAATCCAGGAGAAGATGATAGAAATCATGACCCGAAAGGTACAAATGACTTGAAAGAAGTGGTTAATAAATTAATTCCAGAAGCATTGGAAAAGAAATAGAAAGGCTTGCCAATCTGTTTATCTGCTCCATGGTGTCTCTGTTACAAAAGTCAAAATGCTAGGGAAGCCCAAATTTGAACTGAGGAAACTCATGGAGCTTCATGGTGAAGGTAGCAGTTCTGAAAAAGCCACAGGGAATGAAACAGGTACGACAGTTGAACAAGCTGATAGATATAAGCCTCCAGTCCGAGAATCTGTTAAAAATTCAGACTTTTTATGGTGACAAAGAAAATCTACTCACGATATTTTTTTAAAAAATAAAATACTTAGGAATTAATTTAATTAAGACTAAAAGACTCATGAAATCTACAAAACATTGCTGAAAGAAATTAAGGAAGATATAAATGGAAGCACATCCCATTTCATGAACTGTTAAGACTTAATGTTAAAATGTCAATACTATGTAAAGTGATCTACAAATTCAATGCAATCTCTGTCAAAATCTCAATGACATTTTTTCAGAAATAGAAAACCCACCCTAAAATTTATATGAAATCTCATGGCTCCCAAAATAATTTTGAAAAAGAACAAAACTGAAGGACTCACACATCTTTACTAAAAAACTTACTAAAAACGTTCAAAACTTACTAAAAAACTACAGTATTTAAAACAGACTGGTATTGACATAAAGATATATAGACCAATGGAACAGAATAGACAGCCTAGAGATAAGCCCTCAGATATGTGATCAAGTGATTTTTGACAAAGGTAGAAGACCATTCAATGAGTTAAAGACTCTTTTCGACCAATGTTGGAAAAACTGGATATCCACATGCAAAGAATGAAGGTGGACCTTACCCGATACCATATTAACTCAAAATGGATCAAGAACTGAAATGGAAGACCTAAAACAATAAAACTCTAAGACGAAAACATACAACAAAAGATTCACAATGTTGAATTTGGCAATGATTTCTTGGATATGACACCAAAAACACAGGTAATAAAAGAAAAAAGATATAATGAACTGCATTAAAATTTTAAAATTTTATGTATCAAAAGACATTATCAACAGAGTAAAAAAACCACCCACAGAATGAGAGAAAATAGTTGAAAATATATCTAATAAGAGATTAATATCCAGAATATTTAGTAAACTCCTAAAACTCAACAAAAAAACAAAATCGGCAAAGAACATGAACAGACATTTCTCTAAAGATATAGGACTAGCCAATAAATACGATCATTGTAATGTAAATCAAACCTCAGAGATACCACCTCATATCCACAAGGATGGCTACTGTCAAAAAAAAAAAAAAAGACAAGTGTTGAGAAACTAGAACACTTGTGCACTGCTAGTGGGAATGTAAAATGCTATAGTTGCAATAAAAAACAGTATGCCAGTTCCTCAAAATATTAAAAATAGAATTACCATATGATCCAGCAATTCCGTTTCTGCGTATATACCACACAAATTGAAATCTGGGTCTGAAGAGATTTGTACACCTATGTTCATAGCAGCATTATTCAGAATTGCTCAAACATGGAAGTAACCCAAGTTTCCATGGAGAAATAAATGGATAAGCAAAATGTGGTATATACATACAACAGATTATTCAGCCTTAATATGGAAGAAAATTCTGTAATATGCTACAACATGGATAAACTTTGAGGACATCATACTAAATGAAAGAAGCTAATCACAGAAAGACAAATACTGCATGATTCCACTTATATGAGGTACTTAGTCGAAATCATTAAGACAGAATGTAGAATGGTGGCTGCCACGGGATGGGAGGAAAAAAGAATGGGGAGTTATTGTTTAATGGGTATAGTTTCAATTTTACAAGATGAAGAGAGTTCTAAGGATGAATGGTAGTGGTGATGAGTGCACAATGTCAGTGCATTTAATACCACTAAACTGTATACCTAAAAATGGTTAAGGTGAATTTTATGTGTATTTTACGACAATAAAAAAAAAGGGGTGGAAATATATTTACATGTTTGTTTGTATAGGTATAAAATACCCCTGGATGGATACCTAAGAAATGTAAAATGGTTGGCTCCTACAGGAAGGGAATATGGTTGGCTGGAGAACCTAGAAGAAAGGACACTATACTATATACTTTTTCGTTGTTTAAATTTTGAGCCGCGTTACTGGTTACCTCCTCAAAAACTAAATATTTGTACAAAAAATGTTCGCAGCACTTGGAAACAAATTAGTTAAGTGCTAATATAACTATTACTAGATGTAGGAATTATTTTTAAGTTGGGGGAATCTTTCTTTTTAGAAACTCTTGGCATTTACTACCTAAAAAAGGTAACCAAGTCTGGCAAAAACAAGAAAAATAGTTGAGTCATGCTCAATTTAAGGAAGTGGTTTTTATTGAACAGTACATCCGATGCCAACTATTAGTAAATTCTTCCTCTTTTGGTCATGATTTTTATATCCTTTCTTATAATGCACAAACATACCTAAAAATTAATGCTGCCAAAGTTATATTTAGAGTAATGTAGTGACTCTTTCCTGAACCTTTCAAAAGACATCCACTTCCTTATTTTTATTCTGTGGCACAAACCATTTGTTGTATCATATCTACGTACCCTTTAAAGCACAACGTTTTCAAAACTAAGTTGGTAACAGAAAATTTTTTTTTAAAAAAAAAACATCTTTTTTACTGTTTGCCCTCAACCGCAAATAGAAAAACTAAAGACTGGACATATTTGATTTTAAATTAATCGTGTGTGTGCGCGCGACAAAGCTAACAGCTGAGGCTGTTTTTCAATGTAATTTTCCTTTTTAATCGACTGTTTTTTTTCTTTAAAGCAAGTGCACGTTAAGAGTTTGATAAACCACATGTACTTTCTAAGTAATGGACTTACATAATGGAAAAAAAAATAACCATAAATGTGTATGCAGATAATACATACAGACTAAAGGAATCTAGAAATGCCTTTCGAAAATTGGCACCTGAAAAAGAAACCGTGATTAAATAATTCCACTTTAGTGAAAAGGAAAACTTTTTAGGTCCATATGCCTTTACTTTCCCATTATTACCAGGAAATCTTGAAATGAAAGGTCTGAGTCATAAGATCTCATGGGATATTTCCTTTTGAACACACCCTACTGGAAACGTTTCTCCCCTTCCTCCAACTTATCCAAAAACAAGGGTAGGGAACCACCTCTCCCCTACCTCCTTCCAGAAAGTCAAGGCTTCGCCCACTCAACAAACAGCCCACCCCCTCCTCCCTCCAAATCTCCGACGTTCCGATTTTGCCACCAAGAACGGTGACAAAGTACAGCCCCAAGGAATGCGAAGCTCCGGGAGGAACCGCAGCCAGCGGCTCGTCCTTCACCGGTCTCTGGGGCTCTCATTCAAGAGGAACAAAAAAGGTCAAAAAGAACCGGAATGAGAAAGAGCCCAGAGCTGCGGCGGGGACTGACGGCGGCGCCCCGAGCCCAGGCTTAGGGCTCTGTCCCCAACCCCGTCCCCCATTCCCGGCCCCGGCGAGACCCCAACACCCGCATACGCGCGGGCGGTCAGAGCGCGCCGCTCGCGCACACCTCCACCCCAGGCCTTGCTGAGCGCACAGAGGGGCTCGGAGCCCACTGAGGAGAGGGTGTCGTCGCCGCCGCCACCTCCCGAAAACCGTTGAGACCAAGACGCTCTCCGCTAGATAACCCGGGGTCCCCACGCCTTCGCCCCTCGTCCCTTCGTTCGGGACCAGACAGGAGTGTCCCCCTTTCTCCCCAGGGCTGTTACCTAGGCCACAGTAACCAGCTTGCTGCCGCCGTCGCCTCCGGTCACTGGCACGGACTTCCGAGACGGGAGGGGAGGAAAGCGGACCGCTCACGAAGACCGCCCTGGAGGCGCATCATGGCGCCGCCCCCGCCTTCCGCCCGCGCAGGCGCGCGGCGCCGGGTCAGGTGACCCGTCCCCATGGTAACAGGGCAGCGGGGTGGTAAGGCCGACGCGGCGCCGGTGTGGGGCCTTTCTAGGTAGGGGAACGCAGAGCCGCACATGCTGCCACCGGTTATGCTCACCACCTTTTCCAACGTCCCAATAGATCATGCTCATGGGCCCGGTCACTGCCGCCCATGGTTCCCACCCGCTCACTGCCGCCCATGGTTCCCATCACCTCCGGTACAAAGAGAGTCCTGCAAGCTTGTGTTGGAGATTTCCTCCGCCACCACTGTAGTCACTACGCTTTCCGCGCCACAGGCTCTGAGACATTCCTCTTACTAACCGCCCTCTTTGTTACAACTTTTTTCCTTGGCTTTTATTACTTTTTGTCCATCTAAACTAAAGTATGTTGGCTGTTGAAGGTTATATGTAGAACTGCGCAAAAGAAATAGCTGTGTCCTAACACAAAATCTGAATTTCTTTAGGGCTGTATTACAGACACAGTCCTAAGACCTTGATGTTTCTAGTCTTATTTGGTCCTTACATCAATCGATAAGAAATACAACATCTGCTAGCATACAGAGAAACTGAGGCACAGTTTACCTAAATTACCTAAGGTTACCACATTTAGCATGGAGTAACTGGAATACAAAATAACATTAACTTAGAAGCATTCCATTTCTAGCTAATTTATTTAGTGCAACAATAATTTAATCTGTGATAAAACTAACAAAAATCTTAGCAGAAAAGAGATGACAAGAAGATGAAAACTTTGCCCTCAATTTATGGTCTAGCTGATAAGATAGACGTTTAAAAATAGTTGCACAATAGATTGGAAAGGAAGAAATAAAACTGTTTTTCTTCTCAGATGACATGATTATGTAGACAATCCCAAAGCATTGACCCAAAACACCTAAAGCTAATTTGCAAGTATAGCAAGGTTGCATGTTACAAGGTTAATATACATAAACTGATTGTTTTTCTTTATGCTAACAATGAACAATACATATCTGATAAATGACTTGTATCCAAAATATTCAAAGAACACATAAACCTCAACAATAAAAAAACAACTAAGTTTAAAACTTGGTATAAGATCTGAACAGACATCTCACCAAAGAAGATATACAAATGGCAAATAAGTATGCGAAAAGAGGGTCAAAAGCATATGACATTAGGGAATTACAAATTAAAACAATAATTGGATACTATTACATACCTATTAGAATGTCTAAAATCCATATTGCTGACACCACCAAATGCCAACAAGGATGTGTAGAAACAGGAACTCTCATTCATTGCTGTTTGTAATGCAAAATGATACAGCCACTTTGGAAGGCAATTTGAAAGTTTTAACAAAACTCAGCACAGTCTTGCCATATGAAACAGTTACCATGCTCATGGATATTTGCTCAAATGATTTAAAAATTATGTCCACACAAAACTGCGCATGAATATTTATAGCAGCTTGATTCATAATTGCCCAAAAGTAGAAGCAAACGATATCCTTTAGTAGGCAAATGTATAAATTGTGGCACATCCACACAATAGAATGTTATTCAGAAATAAAAAGAAATGAGCCACCAAGACATGCAAAGACATTAAAAACCTTAAACACGTGCTGCTATGTGAGAGAAGCCAGTCTAAAAAGGCTACACATGCTGCATAATTCTAACTATATGACATTCTGGGAAAAGTAAAATTATCAAGGTAGAAAAAAAGATCAGTGGTTGCCAGAAATTTGGTGAATCTGGGGAAGGATAAATAAATGAAGCACAGGATATTTTGCGGGGGAGGGGGGGAAGCTATTCTGTATAACGCTATAACGATAGATATATGACATTATGCATTTGTCAAAGGCATAAGACAGTACGTGTGACATAAATATATATATATATATAGTACTTGTCCCAGTTTTTGGATCAGAGTTTTTGGATCAGAGTTTCAGTAGTCATAGATTTACCCTTGTTATGTTGGTGAGGTTGCTTGAGCCTGGGAGAAGGCTTTGTAGATAGCTTCAAGGTAGAGGCTGGTTTCCAGAAACATCAAGCATATGATTAGAGAGTTGGTACTTTCAGCTCCAGGGTGCTAGAGACTAAGTTATGCTTGGGTCCAATAATTTAATCAATTGTGCCTATGTAATTAAATCCCAAATAAAAACTCTGAACACGAAGGCTTGATGGACCATCCTGATTAGCGGATATATAAATGTATAGGAGAGTGACGCACTTTCAACTCCACAGGGACAGAAGCTCCTGTACCTGGGACTCTTTCAGACTTTCACCTATGTACCTCTTTATCTGGTTGATCAATTGTATCCTTCACAGTAAAACTGTAATCATAAGTATAGTGCTTTCAGTGAGTTCTGTGAGTCATTCTAGCTAATCATCAAACTTGAAGAGAGATTTGGGGCATAACCATACTTGTAGCCCAGTTGGACAGAAGTGCAGATATCATGGGGACCCCATTTGCAGCTCTCGTCTATGTGGAAACTGTCTTGTTAGAGATCTTGTTCTATAACTTGTGGGATCTTATGCTAACACTGGATTGTTAGTGCCAAAATTGAATTGAATTGTAAAACAGCAAATTGGTGTCAAAGAATTGTTGATGGAATTGAACACACTGTATGAGAGTGAACCCTGACTGAAGACTGTGGACTTTAGTTAATAATAATGTATCAATATTGGTTCACCAATCGCAACAAATGTACAACACTAATACAAGATGTTAATAGGGTGAAGTGTGTTTGGGGAGATGGGAGTACTTGAGAACTCTCTATATTTGCTCAATTTTTCTGTAAACCTAAAACTGTTCTAAAAAATAAAGTCTATTACTTAAAAATATAATAATTACACAAATGGAGTTGTGTTGAGTGTTTGAAGAAAAAGTTCAGGGGAGTATGGAAAGATATTACAAGGAAACCAAAATTAATCTAGGAATTCAAGGAAGGTATCCTTTGAAGATGTGACTTTTAAGCTTCAGAGTAAGAATTAGCTAAGTTACAAATGTTTCTGGCAAAGAGACTAGCAAACACAAAAGTGTTGTGGTTGAATTAAAGCTTGATGCATTTCAGGAACTGAAAGAGGGTTTTAGTTAGAACACAATAGTAAGGGATGGAATGGTTTAAGACAAACCTAGAGAAGTGAGCAGGGCTCTACAGCAGCTACTGAAAAATGTAGCATTTAAAATGGTTACTCTAGTTATTGTTTGGGGGATGGATTGAATGTGTGGCCAACTCTGGGATGTGCAATGATACACAATGAGACTACCTCAGTAGTCAGGATGTGTCAATTACAGTGAAGATGGAGCAAAATCAGAGAAATCTAAAAATGTTAAGATAAAGAATCAGGAAAGCTTAGTGGTTGGTGGGATGTGGATTAAATATAGGGAAGTACCTATGCTAAGTACCAGGTTTCTGGCATGAGCAAATAGGTGGTGGTGTTGACACACACGCTGAGGTGGTGTGCCCTGAGATGAGCAGATAGAGGAGATGGAAAGATTAGAACATTGTTTTTGGTTTATTAAATTTGAAGTGACGTGTGAGTTACCAGTGGGAATAGGCTGAATAATGCCCCACCCCTCCGACAAAGATGTCCATTCCTAATCCCCCAAACCTGTAAATATGTCACCTTGCATGATGAAAGGAACTTTTTCAGATGTGACTATGTTAAGGATTTTGAGATGGGAAAATTGTTCTGGATTACTCAGTTAGGCATGACCACAGGGGTCTTTGAGAAAGAGAGAGAAAGAAGGAGAGAGGAGATAGATGATCAAAGTTGGTAGTAGAAGACGTAAGGAAGAAAATAGAGATTGAAATGTTGTGGCCAGGAGCCAAAGTACACCTGTAACCTCTAGAAGTTGGAAAAGATAAGGAGCAGATAGATTTTCCATTGGAGACTCCAAAAAGGAACCAGCCCTGTCAACATCTTGATATGCCAAATAATCTTGATGTGTCCACCACCTATGTCTGCGTACCTTTGAGAATTTTTAGGAAACCCTACAGTGCAGGCCAAAGCTGGCTGGCTGCCTATTACTGAAAGAGCCCCTGGGGGTGAGAGGGTTGGGTGGGTCAGGGGTCTAGGAAGTCACCAGGGTAGAGAAAGTAAAGTTAACCTGGTTAATGTAGATTCAGATTTCAGATTTGGCCTCATTGGAGGAGGACTCAACACAGGGACAATGGCAACTGTCTTTTCACTCCTCTCCCTGAAACCCTGTATATCTCTGGTGCCCCTGATCTACTGTCCCTCCACCAGAGGCCAGGGTGAGTGCCTGCACACAAGTAAATATGTGCATGAGCCCTTTAAGAGGATGTCTGGGTTTCCAGCAGCCCTCCATTTCACTGAGAACAGAATCCCTGCTGATTTTTGCAAGCAGATGTGTGGGGATTCTTCTTCTCAACACTGGTGCTTTGGACTGGGGAGGCTGGTGTGGGCCTGGAACTCCTTGATTCTCAGGGGGAACCTGCAGAACTGAGATATCCCACCTGATCTTCCACTGCCACACATGGGTGTGGGACCAGCCTATTTCACGTCTCTGCCTTCCTACCAGTCTCGAAGTGGTTTCTTCTTTATATCCTTAGTTATAGGATTTCTGTTCAACTAGTCTTCAAATAGTTCTTCAGGTTGATTGTCCTAGAAATTAATTGTAATTTTGACATGAGAGGAGATGAGCACAGCATTTACCTACTCTACCATCCTACTTGGAACTCTCAACATGCCCGTCTTTGTTTTTAATCACCTCTTAAAAATGAAGAGATACTGAAGATTCCAAAAAATGAGAAGAAACAGTGACAAAAATATTAAAAATTCATCATTAATTTTTTAGAGAGATAAACAACTTATTGCATTCATAAAAAAGGAACAGGATGATATTTTCAAGAAACATTCAAAATTTATATTATAAAAATGAGATCTTTGAGATTAAAAGGTATTATGACAAAAACATAAAATTTATAGAACATTTAGAAAATAAGTCAATGATATCTGCAAGAAAACAGAAGTAAACTTACAAAAAAGAT